CTTGCTTTTAAGAGCTTGTCTTCTTGTTCAAGACGTTTTGGTTTTTCAGTGACAATAACCTCACCACTCATGTTAAGAGTATGGCTTTACAATGAGCTTTTTGTTACTAAGATTAAATTTATTTCATTTGGTCTTATATTTGAAGGTTTGTGGTTTTGTATGCCCCCTCTCCCTGCCCTATAACAGTTTCCTGTCACATCTGATGAGATTTCCATGGTTTTATTTCATAATATGACTGATACATGTTTAAGTGTTAGGAGTAGATAGTTGCATTGCCAGTTTTGTTTTGTTTTGTACCTACATTGTTGGTATTATCTTCATTCTGCCAGTTCTTTTCAGAAATTATACATACTAGGGATAAATACCTAGTTTACAACACCAGTTAGCATTGATACCCTCATTTCGTTCATGTGTCTAACACAGGGTTCCCATTTTATGACTGCTTTACACTTTTGCCTGTAGATAAGTCTTAGGTACATTGTTAGTTCATTCAGCTGAGTTTACATACAGCTCAGTGTGTCACAATATACTGACAACTGACAAGGATCAAGCAAGTGAAGATGTAACTATTCTATTCAGGAGCAATCCTACTCCAATTTTCTCATGACATTGTGGGTACCTAGTGTGACTGGTGAGCAAATTATCACTTATCCAATAGGGTTATCAGTGCCAATCTATATTTTTTTATTAGTACATTTGTTTTTATTAAATATTTCATACTTTTTTAGATATAATCTTGCTATATTTCATTGGGAATGTATATTTTTATGTAATCTGTGACTCCACTTTGCTTTTTTTTTTTAAGATTATTTATGCATACAAGAATGGGTACAGGCCAGAGGTGTGGGAGGGTGAGAGGATTTGCCAGAGATAGAGTGGGGAAAAGAACAGGCAGACTGACTGAAATATATTGCTGAGGGGAGCAGCGGACGAGTCAGGAGAGGTCTGCTGCCCCATGTGGGTAGCTCCTTAGCCGGAGATCGAACTTGTGCTGCAGTAGCTGCAGACAGCTCCATAGGATACATCTTAACCCCTTGCATCACCAGGGAGGCCCCACTTTAGGTATTTTGCTCTATCTTGTAAGGACAAGGACTGGGACTTTATCAGTTAGCGCTTGGCACAAGACCTGCACATGTTGTTACTATTGGTAATTTTTGTTGGATGAAGGATAGAGGATTTTTATTAAAAAAGTAGTGAGAAATACCTAGACGGATATAAAATAAAGACTTAGAACTTTGTGTGAAAAAGGACTATGGATTGATACTTTCACACAATTTATATGGTTTTAGCAAATTGCTGTAACTTATCTTAGTGTGTGTACAAAGCAGTATTTGAGGGTTTTTTCTGTTTTTTTTGTTTTTTTTAATTGAGGTAACAATGGCTTACATTGTTGTTGGTATTTTGGAATTATACAATTATTTTGGAATTATAGGATACCCACCCCCAAGTAGCATTACTGTAGTCCACCTGCCAACAAATCACCCATAGTTTGGTGTTTTTGTTTTTGCTTTTTTAAGATTTATTTTTATTTATACAAGAGCTGGGGTATAGGCCAGAGTTGCAGGAGGGTGAGAGGACGCACCAGAGACAGAGCGGGGAGCAGCAGGCCAGACAGGAATTCTTGGCCAGCCAGGAACTGAACTGGCACTGCAGAGGCTGCAGACAGCTTCCCACACTGTGCTCAACAAGCTGTGACACCGGGAGGCCCCAAATCACCCATAGTTTTGAAAACTTTGTCATGCGTTGGTTTCATTTGTAAATTAAGTGCTTGAATAGCTTTCACTTATTTCTTTGTTTTAGAATAATAAAGACAAAATTGTGAGTTTGCTGTATTTAATATTTATGTATTTTTTTTTCAAGAAGTGAAAATACTTCTACAATTCTTTTTTAGTATGGTTTGTAACGAATGAACATTTTCCCTTAAAAAACATGTTAGTATCTTTAATCATGGATAGTATGCTTTGTTGTATTGAGGAATGCTATTTTTTTGTCTTATGAGGTGATTTTCCAATGTATGTAAGTATAGTTGCTGTGATAATAAGTTATTTTCTTAAGTATATGGTCCAGTACTTTAATGCTAAATATTCAAACACTGGTCATTTTGTTTGCTGCTGCTTGCAAGCATATAATTGGTTTTAGTAAATCATCTCAGGTGATAGTAATGTTTCATATCAGTCACACAGTAAACTAGCTTAATGTTTAAAAATGCCATTTATTTAATGGACTTTTTTTCACTAGTGATTTTGTTGAAATATAGAGCTTGTAGGTAGCATTTGTGTAGATAGTATGTTTGTATTTATGTGGGCAATAAATTCATCAAAATTCTTTAATTTGAATACAAGAATTCAGTTCTTTGCATTTAACACTGGTGTTTATCACCCATTAAAGCCCTTAAAATTTAATACCTTTATATAGAGCTGCTTTATTTTTCCTCGGTAGAGAAGTAGAAAAGGCAGTGAACATATCCCATATATGTATTTAACAATACCTATGTAAATTAATTGGTAAATGGATTCATACCTAATATTTCTTCCAGATGCTCACTTCTGCACTCAGTAGCCTGTTCTGATACTTTGAGATATGCAAAAAGAAAAGGATAAATATGAATAAAGAATAAATAGAAGCAGGTGAAAAAAATGACTAAGATAGAAAGTGTGGCATACATATAGGCAATTCTCAGTTTACAGAATTCTAGAACCAGAAATTATAACTAAAGGGACAGAATGTAGCTATAATTTAAGTGTTTAAAAAGTTGTGTGTGTATATGTGTATGTATATATATATATATAGGTTGAGAATTCAAGGTATCAAAAATAGTAAATATTCAAAGTTGGGAATTATTTGAGGGTATTAAATGCCTGGTGATGTTTTATTACATACAAAGCTGTTCTAAATTAAATATTGCTCAGGTTAAATGAGTCTTAGAGGAAAGGTTTGATGAATTTGTAATGATCTGTATATTGAGAATCTTAATTTGGGCTAATTCAAAGTAACCTTTGTTTTTGAAAAACTTCAGAAGTATTACTATTAATAATTTTATTGAAATAATACTAAATTCTACCTGGGGCAAAAATTATAGGGTCATTTTATCCCTTAACAAAAGAAAACTTTTCATTAGCCAGTATAGAATAAGCATATTGGACATATCAGGAATTTTTGTGCTACTGATGAGGTACATGACCTTGTTCAAATATCCTTGGTCACATAAACCATAACAGGTTTCAGTTTGTATATTGTTAGACTGAATACAAAGCTATAATTTATGGGATGGGAAAAGTGAGAGTGTAGAGTAGGTAATCTAAGTCATCCCAAATAACTTTTCCACGTTTATAAAAACAGTAATATTTGCCTAGGTTTCAAATCTTTCATCTAGCACATACATATTCACATGGAGATGGTAGGTATTAGAGAAATGAGTAATAATGAAGAAAATTAAATCAGACATATTTTAATAATAAGGATAGCATTCTGAATGGTGGGATCAGTTAGAATAATTATTTTATTATATTTAGGTTCTTCTCACTGAAAGGTTTTTGAAATGGGTGGCTTACTTGCTCCCATAGCTGAAAGATTTTCAGTCCAGGTATGAGGTTTACAAAATGACACAAATAAATCCAGGGTTGTTACTTTGCTAAAGGAATTTTTACAATTGGAAAGAAAGTAAAAACTTTCAATAATGTGAAACACCATGTGACCCACATTTAGATAAAAAAAATAGTTGGAAAACAAATCTAAATGTGTATGTATAAACACTAATGATAAGTAGGTGAAACATTTCACAAATTTGCCATGTCTGGATCGCAAAATAATTGCAGTTATTTAAGTGTACATGTGTATGTATGTCACTTTAAATGAAAACTAAAGTACATTTTTACCAAATAGGAAAACCAAAAGGAGTGTGGTCTACATTAAGAGCCTGCAAAAAACATTCCCAATAGGGGCGTAGTGGTGGAGGTTTCTAACCTAGCTTTTTTCACTCTTATGACTCATTGATTGGCTATGGGCAGAAAATTTTAACTATAAACCACTGTTTCTTTATAGAATGTCATCTTAAATATCTTTCATATATCTTATGAAGGCACTTTGTAACTAGTCACCCTAAAATAGTTACTGGATTTTATATGGTTGAAAATTGTCAAAGAAATAGATGTAGGCATTAATAGTTATGTCACATTACACTTATATTTGAAAACAGTTAATTTATAATAAGTTCTCTTACTTGAGGGGATCTTAAAATAAGGTGACAATTTTTCAGAACTGTAAAAAGTCTAACTGCAAAATATGTTTTTAAAATCCTGCATTATAAAATGTGTGATGCCAACTGGAAAAATTGGTATTCAGAAATGATAAATTATGTCTATAGCCAGCAGATAAGAAAGAATTTCCTTTTAATTTTTTAGTAGACATATGTACTTTGTATTAAATATGCACTAATTGATGGAAATTATCTACAAGTTCTATTTTAATATTTTTCAGAAAACTTAAGATTTTACAATTTTTTTACTTACTAGGTCTGGGAATTTTGTTTTGCTCCTTCAAGGTTTTTGAATAATAGATTTTATTTTATGTTTTAATAGAATAAAATGATAAATGTCTATATTGTTGGTTAACTCTTAAAGTACTGAATTTTTTTATCATCTTTTATAGTAAAAGTTTCTTTATCCTTTCCTCTATTTTCTTTCTACCAGACATTTTTTTTTTCCCCATAGAGAATAAATTCACTTGTTGATATTGACTGGGCAATTCTTTTCATAACTTGAACAAAGCAAATCTGGAGCAAATAAGGTGATATCTTACAAAGAAATAGGGTGATAGCTTAATGTTATTAAAAACACTGAATCAAAAAAAAAATACTGAATCAAATATATGGTCCTCTAAGTTTGCCATTGATTAACATGCTTCAATCAAATAATCCTTACATATTTGGAAATTGGGGGTGTGCAAATTCAAGAACTATTTTAAAAATTGTTTTAAAAGCCTAATTTTTTTGTACTTTACAGATGTTCCATTTAAGCAGACCTCTTCCGTCGCAGTAGCTGGAGCTGTTATTGGAGCTGTCCTTGCCCTTTTTATCATTGCAATCTTTGTGACTGTGCTGCTGACTCCTCGAAAAAAGAGACCATCCTATCTTGACAAAGTGTAGGTAACTTCTTTGCCTGTATTCAACTATGAAAATTCACTCTATCGTCTTTATTTCTTTTTTAAAGATTTATTTATTTATATAAGCACTGGGTACAGTCAGAAGCGTAGGAGGGTGAGAGGAGTCACCAGAGTCCGAGTGGGGAACAGAACAGGCAGACTGATGAGATACACTGCTGAGGGGAGCAGCTGGTGCGGCAGGAGAGGTCTGTCGTGCTATGTGGGACCCTCATCGGTGGCCGGGGATCGAACCAGCCCTGCAGAGGCTGCGGGCAGCTTTGCAGCCCAGCGCTCAACCGCTGCGCCACCAGGGGAGGCCCTCTGTATCATATTTATATCTGCATTTTACAATTACCTGTAATGTGTCAGAGGAGTGGAAGTAAGGATTGTAGTTCAATTTTAGTGAGGTTATGGTTTTATTAGAATATCTCAAGCCAGATCTGGTGAATAAACAGTGTCAAGGGGCAAATATAGAAGATACCCTTTTCACTTACAGTATATTAGACATCTTTCTAAATGGCAACACATGACAATTTTTGTTGTCCTGCCTTCTGAATAAAAATGCAGGCCTTTCATGAAGTAGTTGGAAGACATGTAAACATACATTAAAAGTTAATTGCTTCTTCAGATTGTATATTGCCTGCCTTATGTAGCAATAATTAAGCTTAGACTGCCAAGAGTAATTAAATACATTGACTTTTAAAATTTTTTTCCTTAAGGAATTTTAGTTTTGGTGAATTACAAAATGTGCATTTGTTTTGAATTCAAAGAGAAGCAGTGTTTTTGGCCTAATCATCAAGATAGACTTAAGAAGCAAAAATGCATTTTGCTATAAAATCTAATGATCTACATCCCAGTTCATTGCTTCATTTTTGGGATGTGAATAATACTTTTGCTACTTACCTCACATAGTAGTAATGAGGATAGAATGGCTCTCTTTAAATTGTAGTAGGTATAGTTAAGTATAAAAATGTGCATTGCTTAAATAAATTCATCATGTACTAGATTATTTGCATAATTAAAAAAATGCTTCCTATCTGAGCTGCTTCCTTGAAGATAAGTCAATTAGATTGTTTCTAAACATTTAAACTAAACTTTTAAATCACTTTACTTTTTCTATTTATGATAGCTTACCTGAAATATAAAAACCGAATTAAACATGTTAGGCTAGTAATAAAGCTACTAGTCTAGGAAAATATCCGTAAAGCTTAAAGGAACTTTGGACTATTTTCTGCCTTTTTCCTTTTGCAAAGTGTGGCATTAACATTTTTTATCCATTTTAATGCAGAATTGACCTTCCACCCACACATAAACCACCTCCTATGTATGAAGAACAATCCCCTCCTTTGCCTCAAAAAGACCTTCTATATCAGGTAAGTGTTCATGAGTATACCTAAAATGAAATAAAATAAAAAATAGTAAGCCACATGTATTATATGTTTTAAATGTTGTCATTTATATTCCAATTAAAATTCTGATATGAATATATTGGGCCCCACATTACATTTATGATAACTCTTAAAATTTATTTGGAATCAGTTCACAGTAATTCCTATAAAAGTATTGATTCACTGCTTCTATCTCAAGTTCTATACCAAGATTAATATGCCCAACTTGGGAAAGCTTATTAACCCATTAGAATGCAGCGTTTTCACCTTTTTTTTTTTTTTTAATCACCCATGCAAGCTGTGTTTGGGTTATCTGTGGGAATATTCTATATTTTGTTCCTAAAATGTATCTTGTGTATTCAGCTTAAATAAGGCAAATAATTTAATTCTGTGGAAAAACTCCAGGGAAATATGTTCCTTAGATGTTCTTGGCTTCTATTCCTCAGTTGATCATATAATCAGTTTATTACCCTAGCTTCGGGCTGACAGTGGGCGCTAGCTTTGTCCTCTTAATGTGAATTAAATGTCTTAGGGGTAAAGATGTGCCATCATTTCAGACATCTTGTTTTCACATAAGAGCGTAGCTTCACATCTCTTTCATAAAGTAACTTGACAAGTAATGTGAAATGTCAATACAGTATTTAGCTAAAGCCATTGGTAACTTCTGAAGGAAAACTGTCTTCCTCTCCACAAAAATTAACCAGAGGACTTCTAGATTTAGTTTTAGGATTTTTTTCAGAAAGTTCTTAGTAATTTTCTAGGACAGCCCTAAAATTTATATAATTTTACTCTTGTCTTTAAAATTATTGGTTATATAGCATGATCTTACTTAATATTTTCAAGTTAGATATTTACAAAAACTTGTGAATTAGAAAAAAGTTGTCTCAGATCAGATATTTGGGGTTTTAGTTAAGAAAATAGGCTATATTTTATTGGGTGATTTGAGTTGACAGAGGCACATATTGCAAGTCCTTTGAGTTAAAGTTTTCCTGGATGGATCAGTTTTGGAAGCAAGAGTTTTGAAGCATGTGATAAGATCACTCAGTTGTTATTAGAGTCATTTGATGTAGTAAATTGCCTAGTGAAAAGCATAAACCTCATTGGAAATGAAGAGTTACATGGGAAAGTAGTAGAAACTTTGGGAAATAAATTGAAGGGTGAGCCTGAAATAGCTATCCAACATAGGCTTTGGGAATCAGACCGTTTAGGAACATTGTGACTTTTTCCTTACCTGTAAAATAAAACAAGGTAAAAAGCATTATTTTTGTAAATATAAAAATGACTATAAAAAATTTCTAAGTATTAGGTAATTGCTGTCATTTACTTAGGAAAGGCAGAACTTGAGTTGGAGACAAAATAATTCTTAATTCTATAAAACTTTTAAGACTAATTTAGGCTAAAATTATTACCCATCAGTTGGATAATTTTATGTGATTCATGCATTATAATGTCATCTGTTAATTATGTGACTGTGTGTTAATTAATATTGTGTTAGCAAAATGCAAAATACATAGAACTATTTCTTGGTAGCCAAGAAATCTCTTAAGTGTGTAATTACTATTTAGTTTTCTGCAGTGATAGCATGCCATAATAGTAAATGCCTTTGTAATGTTTCACTTTACTAAATAACTTGTCAACATTAAACTCAAGAAGTAATTCCTCCATAAAATTATTAGTTCTCAGCCTTCATAGCCAGACTGTAAGATCTAGTGAACAAAGTTTCATGCTTCCCTATACCAGCATTGCTTTAATGAAGAGAGTCTCACTACTTGTATCCATCAGTGTTCTAGAACTTGGGAATTTGCAGTTCCTTACTAGCCACATTTTCTACCTTATTTTAACCATTGATTTTACGGTAAATAGTGTCAACATTCACCCTTGAGAATTTTCCCTCTAAATATATCAGGAGAATGATGCCTAGCATTATGAAGAGACAATTTCCTTGAGTGGAAACTATTACCATACTGCAGAGAAGTTGAAATTTTTTGTGTATTTTAAATATTAATCCCTTATTGGATATATGATGTGCATGTATCTACTTCCATGAAATAGAGTGTCCTTCATTTTGATGCAAATTTTTTTTGCTGTGTAGAAGCTTTTGTAGTTTGCTATAGTCTCAGTGTTACTTCAAGAAATAAAAAAAAAAAATATTCCCAGCTTGTCACATCATTAAATTGTAAGAATTTAGGAAACAAATACTAACTCATGACAATAAAATGTATTTTTTTTATTGTGTTTTCTAAGCATTGTATAGGTAGTAATTATATTCCGGGTACAAAAAAAATCAAATACTATAGAAATTTATAGTCAACTGTAAAATTCTATTTCATTCTTGCAATCCCAAAATAAATCATTTCCTTCCCCAGAGATCACACCATTGTGAATTTAATGAGCTTCCTTGACTTTTTTTCCATGAACTCAGTTTCATGAATATATCATCCATATTTACATGTATAAATTTTATTTTTAAAAATATAATGGGGTCATGGATCCATATTGTTCTAGAAATAGCTTTTTCCACTCTCTTACAGACCAATGTTTTTTAGAGTGGCCAGTATAACCTTTATTAAAATCCTTTGGGGGAAAAAAAACAAATAAATAAAATTCTTTGGATTATTAAAAATGAAGATGCTTGAACGAAATTTTAGGCTTACTGAATCAGATTCTTTGGGGTTAGAAACAATAGACATTTTACCTAACTCACTAGGTAAATTTACACATGCAAATTTGAGACCTAATGCTATATAGCGATCATTTTTATTACTGTAATAGTATTTTTTTAAATATTTTTTTAAGATTTATTTATGCATATAAGAGCTGGGGCACAGGCCAGAGATGCAGGGGGGAGCGGGGGGTAAGAGGATTTCACCAGAGACAAAGCGGGGAGCAGAACAGGCAGACAAACTGAAATACTGCTTCGCCATGTGGGTTTCTCTCTGGCAGGCCGGGGATTGAACTGGTGCTGCAGAGGCTGCAGATAGCTTCATAGTGCGGTACTTAACCCCTTGCGCCACCAGGGAGGTCCTGTAATAGTATTCTAACATGTTGATGTACCAAAGATTACCTAATGATTTTCCTAGGTACTTTTGTGTTTGTGCTTTTTTTTTTCCTATTGCAGTAATTGTTGCAGTGAGGGTACATTAAATACTGTATTCTATAACTGTTTTTATATAATTGTTTAAAGAAAGAGTGATGTGAAATACATTTTACATTTTTTTTTAAAGATTTATTTATTTATGCATACAAGAGCTCGGCTGTAGGCCAGAGGTGTGGTGGTGGGGTGGGCAGGTGGTGAGAGGATTAGCCAGAGACAGTGGGGAGCAGAAAAGGTGGATCTACTGAAATACACTGCTGAGGGAGCAGCGGGAGGGACAGGAGAGGTTTGCTTCACCATGTGGGTTAGCTCCCAGGCCAGGGATCAAACTAGTGCAGCAGTGGCTGTGGATAGCTTCATATTGTTGAGACTTAACCCTTGTGCCACCAGGGAGGCCCACATTTTATATTTAAATAGGTGCCAAATTGCTGACCAGACTAGCTGTATCAATTTGTATTCCCATAAATAATATATTAAAAATTCATTTCTGGGCCTCCCTGGTGGCGCAGCTGTTGAGTGCTGGGTTGCGAAGCTGCCCGCAGCCTCTGCAGCGCCGGTTCGATCCCAGGCTGCTCCCCGGCCACCGGAGGAGGGTCCCACATGGTGCGCAGACCTCTCCAGCCGCCCGCTGCTCCCCTCAGCAGTGTACTTCAGTCCTTCTGCCTGCTCTGCTCCCCGTTCTGGCTCTGGAGAATTCTCTCACCCTCCCGCGCTTCTGACCGTACCCAGTGCTTGTATAAATAAAAAAATAAATCTTTTAAAAAAATAAAATAAAATAAAACTTCATTTGAAACCTTAAATTTGAAGAAAACATGTTTGAATGAACATTAAACATGAAACATTTTCTAAAGAGTTCATTAGTTTTAGAAAATTTAAATGATAAAGCACAGGGCATAATTTTTAAAAACACTACTACCAGTTAGTGATCATTAGAAATACTGAATTAAGGCCTCCCTGGTGGTGCAAGGGGTTAAGTCGCAGGACTAAGACTCTATCCGCAGCCACTGCAGCATGGCATGAGTTTAATCCCTGGCCATCCAGGGAGCTAAGTCACATGGCACAGCAGACCTCTCCTGTCTTGCCCACTGCTCCCCTCAGCAGTGTATTTCAGTCAGTCCACCTGTTCTGTTTCCCACTCTGTCTCTGATGAATCCTCTCACCTCCCACCCACTCCGCACCTCTGGTCTGTACCCCAGTTCTTATATGCATAAATAAATAAATCTTTTTTTAAAAAGAAATACTAAATTAAATTCAAGATGCATAAGAGTTAAGCAGCCTTTGAAATGCCAAAATTAAGATTTTTAAAAAATCTAACCAATGACAAACATTCCGAAGGATTTGTTTTAAGTAATCAAAACCAGTTTATGTTTGGGTGTATTGACCTTAAGTCATTTGACTTGTAGCTATTAAATTATTCTACTTTTTCTTCTATGAGTATGGAAATTTTTTACTGAGTCTGCCTTGGCAACTTGTCATATGAGTTTCCAAGCTACTGTAGTGTAAATTTTCTGTCCCTTTGACATAGAGGTAGACAGAGCTAGCACTCTTCCCCCGGAGACATGTTTTCACTGCTAGATAAGTTGGGTTATGCTGTGATTGTTTCAGATTTGTTTTGTAGACTCTTTGGCATAGTTTCAAACCAAGATGTTTGTCCCCTCACTTTTATGTAGAGTAATATCTGCCATTGTTTGCCTTGCTGATATTTGCTTAATTGGGAATGTGTGCAGAGCAAGCAATTAGCCTATTGTTGACTCAGTTTTTTGTGTTTTTTTTTTTAATATATTGCATACTATTTGGGGATCTGATTCTGTGAAGAAATAAGCACCGAAGTCACACATGTTTCCTTGGGCATGTAAATTATAAAGCTAATCTTATAATTCAGATTAAACAA